TCTCGAATTTTTATTAAGAAGAACAGAGTTGCATTCAGCTTATGCTCCGCTGCGGGCTTCTGCTTTGACCAATTTAGCCTACTTAAAGTCGATATCTTTATTGTTGCGACCAGGAGAATATCAAAAAAACATACATCACACAGACAAACAGACAGACAGACATGGCTAAATCAATTCAGAATTTCACGCTTCTCAAGAATATATACTCTTTATAGGGTCTCTGAAGCTTCCTTTCGGCTTTTACATACATTATGGGAAAAAAACAAAACGCGCATCTTACAGTGCTGGGTATAATGATAATTACAAATTTGGTTTTCTTATTCTAACTTCAGCTTTATGTTACTCTGAGGTCTAATCCTAATTCTGATTTCAATTTAAATCTTAATTTTTACTCGAGTTCTGTAGATTATTTTCATTGTAATTTTAGCTTGGACTCTAATTTGAGTTTTTTTTTGAATTTTATTAAAAAATTTTATTAATACATTTGTCCTTTTTTTTTTTTTGTCGGCACGGTAAAGTGTGAATTATTTTTTATGCGCATATTCGGCTAGTTTTTTTAAATGCACTTTTAGGTAATTTACACACATGAAAAGTTTGTGTCTTAAGTCTTTTGTTTTTCTAAAGGTATTTATGCAATCTCTTACTACTAATCACAGTACGTACGTAAAACATATGCAAATAATTCAAAAAAGCTTATGTTAAAATTGAAAGCTATTGCTTTAGCATGTTTTCTTTTTTTTATTTAATATTTAGTGTCAATGTGTATACAAAGTAATGTTATTTCACCACACTTTCTTACAGCGAAATTTATCTACCACCAAGTTGATCATCATCATCATCATCATCATTATCATCGTCATCATTATCATCATCATCATCGCCAGTCGCTTTGGACTGCCAAGTTAAGTGAGAATTGAAAAAGCAAACAGTTTACTGTGAAACGTGCTTCAGTCAACAACATCTTCAACGGTGGTAATAAGACTCGGTGATAAGACTTTTTCGTAAAGAGAAAAAAAGTAACGTTTATGCACAAGTGGTAGTGATCAAGAAAACAAAAAAAAAAAAAAAAGCCGGTAATTTTCTAGTAAACGTAAGAAAAGTGCAGAGAATGTCTACAGAAAACGAACATAGCTAAGGCGCGTTACAAGTGTATTAGTGGCCATCATCTAGTACGAATGGCTCGAACATTTCGACAGAGTCAATACGATCGCGATTTTGTGTTGAAATCAACGCTCTTACCCATGAGTTAAAAACGTAGATATATATCTTATCTATGAAAAGTAAATAAGAAGAAGAAACAAAATAAAAAAAGAATAACAAGCTCAAGACAGTGTATTGGCCTTGTGCTGCCATAACGCAAGTAAGTGTGCGCGCGGATATGTGCATTTGCACAGAGACTACGCTCTTTAGTTATTCTTAATCACCATATTTGAGTTTGTTTATCAGTGTGTGCGTGTATTTCTCAAAACTTTCTTTTTTTTGTCTTGTTGTCTTCGCTATGCGAAAATAAAATAAAAAAAATAAATAAATAAAAATAAAAAAAAAAAAAAATCAGGCACCACTTGACTGCATTCAAGCATTATTTTTATTGTAGGAAATTAATTAAATTAATTACAAACACGAAAAAAAAGAGCAAAAAAAATACAAACATATGCACACATTTATATGTGCATACACACAAAAATTGGTATCATTCAAACGAATTATTTCCTTGCCTA